ATATGCCTAATAACAAAACAATTAAGAGAAGCTCAGAAGAAGTAATTGAATTCTGGCGAAAGTACGAACGACAATGACTAGTGGTTTCTGCGATGGCAAAAGACCTACTAACACCTCCGCTTAGCATAGCTTCGGAATCTGCTTTTAGTACAGGTAAAAGAGCTCTATCTGAGGTTAGGAGCTGACTGAAAGAAGATATTCTGGAAGCATTAATATGCATGAAGGACTAGAAAGATTGTCATTTTCGACTGCAAGATAAATATATTGAAATTGCATGTCGTCAAGTAAGTGATATTTAATTAAACCATATTAATCAAAATTTATTATTTTATAATATTTTTTTTTTTATTTTTAAAAAAAATTGTACATGTAACAAGTTGTTAATGTACAATTTTTAACTCCGCTTGCTCGAAATTTACGTAGTTGGTCTAAAACCCGGATAAAGGAAGAGTGTTTATTTTTTTTTAAATAAAAAAGGTTTATCTTAAGAAAATAGAAAAATGGACGAGCTAGTGAGCCGAAGCTCGCTTGACCCACAAGCTCAAGGGCCGGGCCGGGCCGGGCTGGGCCGGGCCGAGCTCACACCTTAAGTAACGAGCCACGAGCTCAACTCGACCCATTGCTACCTCTAGATGAAGACCAACAAATTAAAGTACTCGAAACTACGTCGTTTTGGGGAAAGCTTGCCAAGGAAGCCCAAGGTGCTATTGTAATTGCTGCCCTTCGAATCTAATGACACCTGTCATGTTAAGCCACGCCTATGCTTCCAGCTATCTTATAAAAATTTTGGAACGCCTTTAAGGTCAGCACATCACCCACCTTGGGGATAACTATTGACATCCGAACTACTACCTCGCATAAATAATTGTTTTCACCTCTTGCTCTATAAACGTGAAGGTCGGATACAGGATACATGTGAGATCAGTTCGAACTCGGGGTCATCGTAATTAATGGAAACATAATGATGATTGAATTTATGCTAAACTAACAAACCTAATATACCAATCCAACAATAACACTTAGCTGCTCCAAACGTGAGCACCTCCCCTTTCAACCAATCAGTGATGAACAATGATTACATGACGTTAGCCCATCATTACCCGACAATTTAGCATAATCTAACATAATAAAAAACTGGCATGCCGACCTCAACAACCAATCAATACATCCAAGCTAGGATAAATGGCACACATAAATATGACGATATTGTAACTGACAAGATCGAAGTCGTCCAATATAGTGATCTACATTCCACATACCATTTTCCAAAAGGGCAATTTTCTCCGATCATTAAAAAATAAAACTTGAAATTAAAAAAAAAAAGGTCTTCTCTGTTGTTAGCAATTCTCTCGCTTCCTTCACAAACACAGTCGTGTCGGTGGTCGCATCGCAACCGCCATTACTTTAGAAAATTAATTTATATTAAAAAAAATTGATATGAAAAAAATGAGCATCCAAGATCTCAGAATCACTATCAACAATTATTACATTTATGGAGTTGGTATTTGACGGTGAGTCATGGAGGAATAGGATGTGTAAGGTGGGAGTGTGAGCTTGATTTGAAAAGAACTTTCAAAATTCTTTTTTATGTGTTAATATACATTTAATTATTTTTAAGTATAATATATTTGTATTTTTGAAGTTGTTATGGAATTTTATTTGTAATCTTCCTTATATTTGGTTTTATGTTTATTTATTTAAAGAGAACGACAAAAAATGCAAACTTTTCTTTTACTGATATGATATCATGTAAAATATTTATAAAATGAAGATTTGAACCCTAAATTTTTCATTACATTTAAATCAAAACACAAATATTTTATTATTAATTATAATATTATAAATTAATTTATAGACAACCCATACTCTATCTACCCATCCAAACCCTAAAAAATATATCTCTCTCATAAAAATTTAGAGAGAGAGAATGAATAATGAAGCCGCAATCGTCGTTGTCGTTGTCGTTGTCGAGGAGCACCCGTTTGTGTTACATGTGGTGGTGGATCTAATTGTGGTGGTGAGGTGTTGGTTTTGATTTTTGGTGGTGGTGGTGGTTTCCATATTTTGGTGGTATTGGGGGTTTGGGTTGATTTTT